GAAGGAAAACCTTGTGTGTGAGCTACTTTTTAGTAGCTCACACAAGGAAAGTGAATGGCTTTGGCATCTTTTAGCCGAGATGGAGTTTAAATTAAAGGCACCAATACAGGTTTGGTGCGACAGTAAATCAGCTATTAGTGTTGTCCAGAATCCTGGCAATCACAAAGCTACAAAGGTATTTGTACACAAGGGATTTAGTGGGAAAAAAACGTATCAAAATTAAGTACTGCAATACGAAAGAAATGCTAGCAGAATTACTGACATAGGCATTACCGGTGGGGCAATTTGAGTTACTAAGAGAAAGGATGGGCATACACGACTTGATTTTATTGGTATCGCAGAACACTGAGTGGGAGTGTTAGACATGAGCTATCAGGATACAAAACTTGTTCCCCTGGCAAGTGTCAGAATATATCACGCATGCGAAGTGTCTCCATATGTAGCTCGAAGTCAAGAGGCTCTACGACTTGCACAATCAAACTGTAAAGGGAATGTATGGTGGTAGGAACATTGAGGCAGTGTTATGCGATATGAAGACCAAGGCTTATGTAAGGTCTTCATAGCTTATGTTTTGTGTGGTTGTGTGTGCTGCTGGGCAAGGATGTGAGGGGTTTGGAATGATGTAGCCTTGTCTTTCATTGCTGGTTTTACCTCGAACTGAGCTCTACCTTTGTGTGCGTGTTCTACCCCCTGCCCCCCACCCCCGGCCTATTCAACAATCGTACCACAATACTTCGCGACTTTGTTAACAGCGTTTGGTACAGCTTATGGTGCACCGGGGTCATCGATCCCTCAGGCCACTTCGCACTCTTGATTCTACATTATGGCATGCATTAAATATGAACTAGATAAGACCTACACAACCAATGTTTAGAACTCGCAACTCTCCGTAGAACAAATCCACTTTGCTGTTATCGCATTTCGATACTTCTGGCGAAGGCGAAAGCCTTGCTTCAAACTGAAAGTGTTCATGCACTCCTTCAAATGCACTAGGCTCCCGAAGTCGTGAACTTTCACAGAATTCAAAACACTTTTTGAGACGTAGTCGTGTTCGTTCTCAGGAGGCCTTGTGAAGTTCATCTCTACGGCTAGAAGCAAGTACTCGTCAGAAACGAAGCCACTCATACTGTAGTGGTGTTTTACAAATGTTGTCAATCGTCACCACAACGGTAAAATTATGAGCATGCGGATAGATTTAATGGTCCTGACGATGCGTACCACTGTTATTATCTGTGCAAGAAATTAGATTATCCGGAGGAATATCGTTATTCCAAATTTCCCCCAAAGAAGGTAGATCTGGGGAGTTTTGAAGGTAGGCACCCCCTGCTGTCGGGGAATTAGTCGTAAATATTCTGTTGTGCAACGTTACTTCGCATTCTGGGATGGGTACCTTCGGGAAGCGATAATTCCGGTGGATGAAATGTCACACTGTCCAACAGTTGAAGCACTCACCACCCAAGTCCCAGGGAGATGTAACACCACAGCAGCTCATTCGGCGAATAATCTTTTTTACTTTGTGACAAGCGACAGTAGTACTAGTTTAAAATTGTGACAATACACAGTAACATGCGGCGACTTTAACATAATGACAGCATGATGGCAACTGATACTGCTGTATCACTGACGTTATGTTTTTCCCAACGGATCGATCCCAATTTGCCGGCAAACTGGACAAATTGGGATCGATCCGTATTTCCGTCCTAACTGTTAAGGATTTTTGGTGTAGATTAGGCATTTTTTGTGCGGAATTCGGTGAATTGTATGTTGTGCTCTGCGAAGTTTATGTGGAACTCGGGATGTGTATTGTGTTATTAGGACGAGTGTGTATTTCGTTAAAAATGGTATTTTTTTGGGTCGTTTCTGTGTGTATTTCGTTATTTAGTGTGTGACAACAAAAGGTCCTCCTTGTCGTTAACATGCTGGGCGCCACCTCGTCGAAACGAATGCGACGACAATACGTATGTTAACTTGGCGCCAGACAAACCCGACTGAGCACACAATTGGCATAAGCATATATTCCAGGGGGTGACGACACGGAGTGGTTGCTTTCCCCGACATGGCGGCTGATGGTACAACATCCTCCTCTTCCGTGCCAACGACTTCGTCGAGTAGGCTTCAACCACTTGTTGACCCAGCGAGCATGGCCGACAGCAACACGAGTGGCCCATGCACTGACAAGTCCATCGACTTTGGCTGTGGGAGGTAGGGTAGGAGTTGTGTGCTTGAAATTGACTGGAGAACTAGGGCAACCGCCACCGCGGTGATCAGGCACGTCATAGCCGAATCGTCGGGGAACAAAGTCAAGGTTTGCCCCTCTGACGTCTTCATTCGGAAGAAGCGGACGAAGCGTAACCACACACGGCCAGACTCTACTTGCCAACCATTGTCAGGTCCGAAGCACGACCAAACAAGTATCACAAGAGCGCCAACTACGCTGCATCTTGGTAGTCGACAGTGGAATAGGCCGAGGTGTAGAGATAGTACACCTCGGCCTACTCCCATGCATGGAAGTCCTGTTTTGTACACGCATTTGCCTGTTTGAGATCTTGCCACCTGGACGCGTGCCACTTAGTGTTTGAGGTCCTGTCCTTTAGCTAGAATAGTCGAGTCAACGAGAACCATGGTCCTTTTACAGTGGTCGTCATGGTCCGTTTACAGTGGTCGTCAGCATCGAGTGCCACTTTTTCCATAACTCAGTCAAATCAAAGTATTTTTCAATTCTGTTCAAGAACTGTATCATCCGATTGCTTTTACCGGATGACTGCCGTGTTCAATTGACTCTAAAACGCAATATTGTGTGAGATACAATACAGCACAACTCGGAATGATAGTCAATTTCAACCTTGTTTACTGATATCCTCTAATAAATGGCAAGCAATTGTTGAATTGGCATAAATTATCATACTTCGAAGTATTCGAAAACCCTTTATAATACCAGTATGATACAAATTAAAAAGTGGCACTCGATGCTGACGACCACTGTTAAACGTTATCCCGACATGCATCCTCATTTGAGGTTTCAGAATTGTCAAAAATAGGATTATCAAAAATTGGATCGAAGTAAAGCATTGTGTGGCAGAGATGAAGGATGGCAAGTGCAAAAGGGACTACAAGAAAGAGACCTGGACGTGTATGTTATGTGGAGAGACAAACGTCAGCTATCTTCGATAGCTGACGTTTGTCTAGTTAAGCACTTGACCAAGCACAGATCAGACGAACATGCCCAGAGCATTGAATGAGACGGGGCAAAGAACCCACTGCAGCCGCGATAACACTTTGAGAACGCGAAGGTGTAAACTTGCCATGCTACATTGATGACAAGTGTAACACTTCGGACAACCCCACCAGCCAAAATGGTAACATAGTTCATGATGTTACTGATATACTAGAGTAGACGACTGTGGCGATGCCTTTGACGAGTATTTGGAGAGCCTGCTTGCACTCCCTGCGTCGTACCACTCCGGGGTTATATACAAATGCTGGGAAGTATTTGTAAACAACGCGGACTGCCTCTACCACCAATGCCTGTTAAACCCGAGGCTACTGTTGATGAAGAATTTCAACCCGAGACAAGTGTTGAAGTTGAAGAACCACCGAAGCCAACGAAGTGAAAGCAAAACGACAAAGTGGTCAAGCTGTGGAAACATTTAGGTCTCGTTTAGTTGTCTTCCTATTAGTAATTGACAGTTGTGATAATTTTCGGACCCTAAGATTGGTAAAACTTTAAAAGCCAACTGCAGAAACAATGAATTACTCCCGCAAACTTCCGAAAACTTAGGTAAACTTCAGAAGTTTAAGGAAAACTTCAGCAAACTTCGGAAAACTTGGGGAAACGTCGGAAACTTCGCGAAAACTTAGCTCTATTTAGCTTTCACAACAAAGTTGTCGAATTGCTTAGCTCGCTGCAAACGGCCACGCGAGGAGACTTAATTCTGCCTTGTTTCATCGGTCGCACTACTTAGAGCCGAGACCACACGTTTGCGCTCCCCAGGATGACCAGTTCGGTGCGACAATACTGGCTTATTCGCGCATGACTTAATAGTTTTGTAAGACTAAATTATTAAATAGTTGGGACATACCTGACAGATTCCGGCACAAGGAATCTCGCTACTGTTGACTCAAAGCAATCACAGCTCGGATGTCCCCCTTCCTGGCCAAGTACAATCCGATGCGCTGCATCCACCACATCGTCGAAGTGCGAACCCGACACATACCAAATCCCGGCAACCATAGGACATTGACGTAATTTGACTAGCGCCGCTTTGCAACCGAAAGGGCGACCAATTCATCGCACGCCTTGATTTCTTGCCGTTGAAATATTCTCCACAAGTGCTCGGCCAACTGGAGAAGGTTGAAACGACGCAGCTCTTATTCCTTGAACCCTATGAAACTATCACTGACTGCAATACTAAGCATATTACCATTCTCTTTGATGACAGACTTCATGCTTTCACCGCTCTGCGTGACCATGCTGCTGCATGTGAAGACGCTTCCTGCCAATTATGTTATGGTGTGTAATGAAGCATTAAAATAGATAAATATTATTTGATGGGCATTATTACCTGTGAAGGCACGGCACACCTTTTCGTAGTGGCGAGATATACTGAGTAATACCTTGGCCGGCTCGTTGGTTACGCCGTACTTTACTTCCGCCTGATCATAGCTTTGCTGAAGGTTGAGTAGGTCAGGCGCACTTTGGTCTTGAAGACGATCAAGCATGACGGTGGTCTTCAAGCGCAATGACTCAAGGTGCTTCGAAGAATGTCGTGTTATTCGTTTAGGTTGTTTGAGTGGCTCATGGCGGATAACGTTCACTACTGCTTCAATTGTCTTTTGAGTTGCTGCTACTCACTCCAGCCAATAACAAAGCATTCGACGGCAGATCTTGGTATACTTCTATAACTGAATGCTTGAATAAAGTAGGAGTATTCAGTTATAGAAATCAAGTATTACGTAGTATTCAGTTATAGAAGTATACCAAGATCTGCCGTCGGAATGCTTCTTATTTGCTGGAGTGAATTGAGCAGCATCGACGTCGAAGATGGTGGAGCGCTACTTTTCGAAGGCAAAGCTTCTACTTCTAAACTGAATACTTGAATCAAGTATTGAGTTATAGAAGTACTTGAATCAAGTATTCAGTTATAGAAGTAGGAGCTTTGCCTTCGAAATGAAGCGCTCCACCATGTTCGACATCGATCGAACCATGTCGATGACGTCGTTATACGTTTTCGAAGCGTTGATGCGTGTTTTGTTCAGGAAGGCCGTTGCAAAGCGGGGTCATGTATGTTTGGCTCCTCCGTCGCTCGAACTGCAAAGCCATGGAGCGCAGCAATGTTGGCGGGAATCATGTCCTTGCCACCTTGTACATGTACTGTACCTGCACCACAGCTCGCTAAACGCAGACGACTGGACCACGGATACCGCGGAAGCTACAGAGAATCGGGGAGAAACTCGACCCCCCTAAAAAACACGTCCACCTCTATGTTCTGATATATTTTTATTGGCAAGGATATGTCTTGTAAAATCAAATACAAAGATTATTTTAACCAATCAAGTAGCATCGATAATTAACGTATTTCGATTGGTCCATTCAAACATGAAATTCAAAACTGCCCGTCACTTCAAAAACGTCCACACGATCGTCATGACACCTCGGCGTCCTCAAATCTCCTACACGTTGGCCACCAAGAGACAATTGCTCATGCGATTCGATGAAGCTGGCGTGAGTAGTCGTAAGTTTTGTACGGAGCATGGCATCCCTCGCAGCACTTGGAAGACGTGGCTCACCCTCCGTGCAAAACTTACGACTACTACACGAAACAAGAAGCGAGCGACCCTCGGCGGCCAAGTCCATCATACCGTATCAACATGACCTGCTGACCTTCATGAAGGACGTTCGACGGGATGAACACATCCTAACGTCCATGCATATGATCAACTTCATGAAGACGTACCACAAGGCATGGGTCGACGAGTACACCGCAGCCAAGCCGGATCCCTACAAGTCTCTCCTCCGGCTCTGCCAGTCGTTTGCTAAGCGTCACCGCTTCTCACAACGCGTTCCCTGCTTCACCAAGCAGCCCGAAGGGGATCTGTTGAGGATTCGTGACGAGTTTGCGGCCGATTTCTGGAACAAGTACAAACACCAGAGCCCACAAGACATCATCAATGCAGACGAGACGGCCGTCTATTACGACATGCCACCTGGTCGTATTTGGGCCGAGATTGGGAAGTCCTCCAAAGTCGACAAGACGCAGAAACACTCGGATCGCATCACGGCAGTGTTATCGTGTGTCGGGCTGACGGTGAGTGTTAGTAGTTTCGACAACCGTATCTAATGCAAATATAGGTTCGAAGTTGCAAATATTTTTCATTGTGTACGGCACGCCTGGTGGAATGATCGACATGCGCGAGCTCAGGGCCAGCATTGGATGTGGGTGTCATGGGTCCGTTCAAAAAGATTAT